CATACATAAAGCACCCTAAGTGATTAATATTTCTTTTCCTTTTAAGCTCCTTGGTCTACAGTCTAACACATAACTGCCTTACAGATTCTTACGGGTCTAATATTTTTAGAGAAGCAAGCAACATTTCCAAGTGCAGAAAGAACCACTTAAAAATACGTATCACCAGAATTCCCAACTCAAAATGTTGCAAGTGAGTTATAATCATTTAATCCAGTGTAGCAAACATACTGTAAACCAAATCTTAATTTTCTTTATAACATTTAAATGAAATGGATTGACAGCCCACAATTCCTTTAGCTGAACTGGGCTGTTCTGTTAGATGCACTATGAAATGGTTATTTGCTGAAACTTTCCAGAAACAGAAAATATACTGAAAGGTGAACACTCTGATAGACACATTTCAAAGTGTTTGGACATCTGGAACACCTTTTGATACAATTGTCTATTAGATTCACTTACCTCCAGGAGTTCTGAAATGGACAAAATCGTTCCTGGGATTTGGTGCTTGATACAATTTGATCTGGGTGGATCTAGTAGAACAAGAATGCCTCCCAAAAACCTGGGAACAATTTTGTTAACTTGGCAGTCACAGAAAAACTCATTCTTTTTCAATACAAGCTCACTGTTCGTTAGCAGTCTGAAGAATTGTGATGCCTGACAAGACAACCTTTTCAATCTTGAGTTCACCCACTGAACCAACACATATTGAGAGTTTACAGTGTACATCAATCTACTGCCCAGAACACAGCCCTGAAGAAGATGGACATGCTCCTTCCTGGGGAGACACAATAAAGAGCCCTTCCAATTACTCAGAGCTGTGATAAATGCCATGCAGGAGGAGTACCAAAGTGAACATCTCAGGGCACCAGACCTGGTGTGGGAGATCACAGAGGGCTTTGTGGAGGTGGTGATGCTTGAACTGGGATGGGAAGGATAGAAAGGTCATCTAGTGATGAGCCAACCCTAAGTGCTGACGTATAGGCAGGGATTAGGAGGGGAGAGTTGGAAAACTTGCAGATTACCTAGTGATGGAAAGACTGTTGCAAGTAGAGAAAAGAGTGAGTGCAAAGGTGGGGGGGGCAGGCAGAAAGGAGCTTTGGGGTGCATTTATGGAACTGCCAGAGACCACTGAAGCTGGGAAGAGAGAATGAAGGGGGCAAGAATACAGGCAGACAGGTGGAGGCTGGCAGGATGCAGTACACACTGGACCTTAGAGCCATGCAATAGAAACTGGAAGGCAAATGCAGGGTTTAAGAAGTTAAAGTGCTATCAGATTGACATTTCTAAGAGATGATTCCTGGTGCTAGGTAATTGCAGGGGAGCGAGAAGGTATGTAGTGGAAGGAGCTGTGATCCAGGCAAGAGATGATGGTGGCTGAGACCAAGACTGATTTTGTTCCCCAGGTGACATCCAGCAGTATCTGGAGACATCTATGATTGTCACAACTTGGGAAGTACTGCTGGCATCTGGTAGGCAGAGGCCAGGGAAGCTGCTAAACATCCTATAAAACAAGGAACATCCCCCCACCCCCAACACACACACAAGAATTATCGAGCCCAAAATGTTAATAGGTGGAGTTGGAAAACCTTGGTTTGGACCACGGTGATCATTTGATGGGGATGGAGAGCAGCAAATAGATTCAAGAAGTGTTTTGGAGGTAAAAAATCAACAAGAGTTAATGATGGGCTGGATGTAGAAGTAAAAGAGCAGGAGGGATCAAGGACAAGGCTCCGGTTTTTCAACATTTCCAAGAAAAGTTATGTTCACAAGTTTCCTTTTCTCAGAAAGCCAGAGAAGTCTGCTGTGAAATGCTTTTGCTCTCCAAGTCAGGTGGGCCAGTCAGGGTGGGAAAACAGGTGGGTGGCAAAACTCTTCCAAACTTCCTCAAGCATCCCATCACCAAGTCTGTTGTAGCCCAGATGTGGCTTCTTACTGGTTAAAGACACCTGTCAGACCATGGTTACCTAGGCAGTCTGGGTTCTAGAACTTCACCCTGTTCTTTCTTAAAAGGAGGAAACCAATACATGTTTGACTACATCTGCACCTGAATCCAAACTCTCCGTCCAGCTGAGCTGAGTAGCGACTCGGCGTGACAGGCAGACCAGCATCACTTGGGAGCTTGTGAGAAATGTAGACTCTCAGGCCCCAAGACAGGCAGACCAGCATCACCTGGGAGCTTGTGAGAAATGCAAACAACAGGCCAGCTGTAATGGATCGACATCTCTAGGAGTAAGCCTCAGGAATCTTGTGTTTTAACAAATTCTCTGGGTGATTCTGATCATAGGGAGGTTTGAGAAGCGCAGCCCTGGCACCAATTATAGAACAGGAGACACAAAGCCTATCTATGGAAGTACAGCACAGACAAACCCTCAGTACTCAGCTAGTGTCAAAAACCTGAAAGTTAAGATAATTTAAATAATGCCAGATCATTTTATGAAATAAGGTCTAGGCCTTGAAGGGCTGGTACTGAAAATCTTCCGAGTGTTTCTTATCTTACTTCAGCTTCTAACAGAGAGATAAACATTAGGACTTAGAATAAAAAAAAAAAAAAAAAGTGTTGTGCTTGAGAGTTTCCAAGCAATATAAATCCTTCTGCCTTTTGGAAGAGAATAAACAGTACCCAGCAGGAGCAGAGAGCCGGCCCAGTGAAATAAACAAGTTCTTAAACAGCTAGCAGTGGGAGAGGTTTTTCTGGCTGATGCAGGAACAGCAAAAGCTTTCAGCCAAGGGCCACGGAGGGTTAACTTCAGGGCAAGAGGCACAAGCTTCCCTCAGGCCTCCACTGAAGCCGGCAGGGTCTGAAGCCAGAGAAAGGTACTCTCAGCGGACTGCAGGCCAGGCCATTCTTGGCTGTCCTTGAGGCTAGCACTGAGGTGCCCAGAATTCCGAGGAGGGATCCAACTCCAGAAGGGAACTCTCTGTAAGCTCAAAAAGCAACATCTTGTCCCTAAGCGTAATACCCTTGATTATCCTACCCTCTCACCCAACACAGCTTCAAAAACATCCACAGTTCAGATTCAAGCATCGTATTTTTGATTCTGAGAGAGGGTTTACCCAAACACTCCAGAAAGAAAACAGAAAGGCAAGAAGAAATAATAAACTAGCTTAACAATGAATGATGTATAAACTCTGGGGTAGTGAATGGCTTATTTATAAATAAGTGTCACTTAAAACTACGCAGGAAGTCCGCGTGACAGCATAAACAAGAGAAACTCAGGAACTCCTTTGCCCCAAACCCGGCGCCTGCCAGAAGACCAAGCTATGCCCTCTGTTTTGGTGACTCGCAGGCTCACACCAGTCTTTTGTACGCCTGTGCGGTCCTGGGTGAGGCTCCAAGTTGTAAATATTTGCCCTTCACCCAGAGCTGGCCAGCTGCTGAGACTGCAGCTGACAGGCCAGGGGGCCAGGATGAGGGGGGTGGGGAGTGGGCGGACGGAAAACTTGCAGGCCTGGTGTGCACGTATGGAAGGGGGGGGGTGGGAGAGGGCAGGCAGAGGCAAAGCAGATACAGGCCCCTGGGGGCCCCTCAGGCAAATATGTTCTCCTCCTCCGATGCAGCCATATGGAACAGTCAACCAGAGTGGCACCATGCCCCTCCGCGTTTGTCTAAAGCGTGGTCTTTGCAATCAGGGAAACCCTGGTTCTCAGCAGGCGATTTTGCGCGCGCACACACACCTCAGCCCCAGAGAACACTTGATAATATTTGGAGACATTTTTAGTTGTCACATCTTGGAGGGGGGATGGGAGTGCTACTGGTATCTACTGGGTAGAGGCCAGAGATGCTGCTAAACACCGTACAATCTAGAAGAGAGCCTCCTACAACAAAGAATAATGGGGTGCAAAATGTCAATATATCCCAAGGTTGATAACTCTGATACAGAAACTGAATCTCCACTCTGTCCCCTGAGTCACAGTATGACTCTGGACCAGTTCTATGACCACTCTGAGCCTGCCTCCTCCTTCTCAAAGGATTAAATAGATAATGCCTGTAAAGTGCTTCCCACATTTGCTGGCACATAATAAACACTCAAAAAAAAAAAAAAGGTACTCATGGTTACACTGAGAGGCAACACAGTAGTGCTTAAGACCTGGGGCCGGTGAGGCTTCTGGGTGGCTCAGTCGGTTAAGCATTGGCCTCCGGCTCAGGTCATGATCCCAAGGTCCTGGAATAGAGCCCCAGGTCTGCTCCCAGCTCAGCAGGGAGTCTGCTTCTCCCTCTCTCTCTGCCCCTCTCTACTTGTGTTCTCACTCTCTCTCTCAAATAAATAAATAAAATCTAAAAAAAAAAAAAAAAAAAAAAACACACACAACCTGGGGCTGGAGAGACCAGGACATGAGGGTTCAGAACGCAACTAGGACTCAGGCACCACTGAACCTCACTAGAGCTTGGTTTCTTCATCTACAAAATGAGAAGCATCACACCTGCCTCACTTGATTAAGAAGGAAACAACTGAGAAGTACTTAGCATAAGGCCAAGTAAGCCTTCACTAGCGGTGGTCATTATAATTACACCAACGACCAGCACAAGGGGATGGCTCAGGGGGAGATGTTAAAGGTAACTGCAGGCAACATTTGTTGAGCATTGGTCAAACACAGTGCCAGGTCTTTTTAACATATTCTCCCCCTGAAGGCTGACAACTACCTATTCTACATTTAGGGAAACGAGGCACATAGAGGTTAAGCCACACAGTCACACAAAAAGCCTAAATTCTAAGACAGTTCCAATTCCAGAGGACTTACTCTCAATTATTACTTTATGTTCGGTGGCGCTTCCTTTTTTTCTGGAATCCCCATCGCCGGAGGAACACCACAGCCGGTGTCTGGCTGTGTTTTACCCCTATGTCACATCTCTAGGGACCAGTTTCTAACTTTAGAGAGGCTAAGCAGCTTGCTCAAGGTCAGCCAGCGAGCTGGCAGCAAAGCCCGCGTGTGAATCCAGCTTTCACTCCGGGGGCCTGCGTTTTGGCAGCCTTCTGAACTTATTCAGAACTGTGTGTTTCGTTTACTTTCTTGAATTCCTAAGGACGCATGGATATAGTTCGCCCTGTGTGTCAGTATCTCATCCCAGGCGCCACGCGTATATGGGAACTTTTCAACCTTAACAGAGGTTAAGCAACTTCCACAACATCACCTAGCTGATCTGAGCAGCAAAGCCTTTAGACACAGTTCTGACTTTGGAGCTGCACTCGTTCTTACTCCACGCTGACTGTGGGTTCCTTTCAGTCTTTCCAGACCCCTGGAAGCTCTGCTGTAGCTGCATTTCACCCTGCGTATGGAATCCTTAGGGACCATAGTTTCCAAACTTAAACTGCTTCAACGGCCTGCTCATGGTGATACAACTGGTAAGCAGTGGAGGAGGGAGGCAGGGAGCTCCTGGGAAGTTCCAGGCATCCCGGTGCCCCAAGGGACCGGGAAGCGCCCTGGGTACCCAAGGAGGCCGGCGGGGGGTCGGGGCTGGCGGCGGGCGCCTACCTTGCCGCCGGGCGGCGCGGCCACGCAGCGGCTGAGCGAGTCGAGACGCGCGCTGTACTCGGTGAACTTCTTTTGGTAGCGCAGGGCGGTCATCTGCAGCTCCAGCTGCGCCGCGGCCAGCTGCGCCACCAGCGACTTCTCGCGCTTGCCCGCGCGCAGCGCCTCCTTCTTGAGCGCCTTGTGCAGCGCGCCCAGGCGGGCCTGCAGCGCCGCGTTGTGCGCCCGCAGGGCCCGCGCGCAGCAGTGGCCGCCCGCGCGCTGCTCGCCGTGCGTCAGGGGCAGCCCGCAGCCCTCTTGGCAGCGGCCCACCGGCCGCGCGTCGCACGCGTCGCGCATGTGCGCCTCCAAGTCGCGCCGCAACAGCACCTGGCCGCAGCCCGCGTGGCGGCAGCGCGCGGGCGCGAAGTCGCAGCGCTCGAGGTGCTCGGGCAGCTGCTGCAGCTTGACCACTCGGCTGCAGCCGCGCGCCGCGTGCGCGCACTTGATGTCCAGCTTGAGGATGAGGCGCTTGAGCGGCAGGACGTGGTTGAGCTCCTTGGCCGACAGACGGCCGCGGCAGCGCGCCGGGCAGCTGCCCTCCTGCACCACCCAAGGCAACACGCAGCCGGCACAGAAGACGTGGCCGCACGGCGTGGTCAGCGGGTCCTCCAAGACCTTGTGGCACAGTGCGCACTTCAGGTCCGGGTCCACGTCGCCGTCGAAGCGGTCCAGCTCGAAGCCCATGGTGGCGGCCGGGGCCCGGGGTCGCCGCCGGGCGGCCGGCCGCCCCCTCCCTCCCTGCGAGGCAGCCCAGACACACTGGCTGCGCCGCCCGCTCGCTCGCTCGCTCGCTCTCCCCGGACTGAGCCTAATTGCTCCAGACTTCCTCGGAAAATGCCCGAGGAACAGGACTCCTCCAGCCGTATATGCGCGAGCGCGTGCGCACGCACATCCTGCCTCGGCTGCCTGCAGCCCGCCCCCTGCAACAAGGAGGAGGCCGGGAGGCAGAGGAGGATGGGGAGACCCAGAGGCTCGCCTAGCGGACTGGCCCGCCCAGGACGGCAGCCTGAGCCCTTCTCCCCGGCGACTGCTCTCTGGAAGTTTTCGCTGTAAGATACCCACACAAGCCGAGAAAAGCTCACTAAGTTTGGAGCTGAGGCTGCTGCAGTCGCCCAGACGAGTTCTCCTGGAGCCCCTTCCGGGACAGATAGTGACTTTTTATTCCCCTCCCCCGCCCCCTCTTTTCTTGGCTGATTGCCGAGAACGAAAAACATTTTGAGGCCCGCTATCTCAGCACTTACGGTCTTTATTTCATTCCGGGGAAAGTTACAGAGCTTGAAGAACGCTCCAGCAACTACAGTTCTGACCAGAGATTCGGCGGACCCCAGGGTTTGGCCGGCTAAGGTTTCCAGGACCCGAGGGCAAATCTACAGGGGCGAATTGCGGGGACGAGGGCTGCTCCTAGGCTGTTGGGTTGGGAGAGGCTGGAGTGCTGGCTCCGTTCACTTCACTTAATACTTCTGAAGTGTCCGCGCTTCTAAATCGGTCCTTTAAAAATCATCAGTACAATGCTGTGAGAGAGTATTAGCGCCATTTAAAAATTATTTTTACTGCATTACAAAATAAGTAACGCTGGTTCTACAACGTTAAAAATCGCACAAGTATAGATCTTAGAGAAGTTCCCCGTTACCCACCCCGCCACCCCTGCAATCATGTGAACTGTGTTCCTTAAGTTTTGTTTTGATTTTTTCCTTTGTGTATACTTTGTTATATTTCCATTTTCCAATCGGGGAAACTCAAGCTGGGAGAAGGCAAAACAAAACAAAACAAAACAAAAATTGTCCTGTAAGATCGCCTACAGCAGTGTTTCTCAAATTTTAATGTGGATGTGGATTCTGATCCAGTAGGTCTGGGGCGGGGCCTGAGAATCTCCGTGTTAAAAGAGCTTCCAAAAGAGGCTGATGCCTCTGGTCCGTGCACCTCCACTTAATTGGAAAGTGGCCATCCAAGAATCTGGACTTTTTTTCTTCCACTCTGGGGCAGCTTTTCAAGCAGTGTAGTGAGTCTTGTAATTTTCAGCAGTACTTCTGTGTGTTGAAGGAATACTTCGAGATACCAATTTAGGTGATAAATACATAGCATCATCCATGGATTTGGTCATTTTTTTTTCTCCCAAGGCTGTAGACATTGCTAAAAAAAAAAAAAAAATGCAGTTAGCACTGGTAAGAAAGAAATCAAGCTATGGAATTCTCATTTGGACTCTGCTGCCAGTTTCTGAATAGTGAAGTGAAAAAGTTGAATCTCTGGATTTAGTGTGGCTCTGAGGTCTAGAAAGCAGGATTACAGCATCCATTTTGTCTAATTGCTTTTACTTCTCTCCTTTATCTGGCTGCTAAAGCCCCGTGACCTTCACTATTTAACTGCTTCACCAGAGTGAAAGGATTGCCTTGATGTCCACAGGATTACTTGTTTTGAACTGACCTTTAAAAAGTTGTCACTGACTACTAGATTTTTCAGTGCATAATTGAGGTCACTGGACAGTGTTCTTAAATCAGTGTTGGTGGCATTTGTTCTCTTTGTGGTAGAGGCTTTCTTTTCATTGCTTTAATCAATTAATGCATTTCTTTGATAGTACATGGGGTGGAATATAATTGGCCTTTGTTCAGATAAGCATGTGCCAGGAATCCTCCATCAGTATATTTATTAAGCGGCTCACAGGTTCTCAGATAATGAGTAAGAAACACATTCTTTCAACAAAGGTGTGTGGGCTTGTCAGTTTCACAGGGTGGGCTAGTGTCAACAGGGGGATAATCTTCAAACCAAACTGGTTTTGAGAAACAGAGAAAGCTCATCATACACCATAAATGGGAAATGAGTGCTTGCTTTGGGTGTCAGCTTCTTTTAGGAACCACCCACCACCACCTCTGCAGGGGCAGCAGACAGAGAGGTGGCTGATGAAATGCTACAGTGGAGGCCACAGAGAAGCTATAGTAATGTGGATCAGCCTCTTTAGGCAAAAGCAAAGGCTATCTGAGCCACTCCTCACTGGTTAATTTTAGAATAAAAAATACTGAAGTTCAGAAAAAAAAGGACAAGACAACCAACCCTCCTAGAATGTCAGAGTTGTCAGATCATGTATATCATTTAGTGGCTAAATTTAACAGGGGGACTAAGAACCAGAAAGGTTAAAAAAAAAAAAAAAGTACAGTGAATGGCAAAGTTTCTCCACCTTGGCTTTAATGATAGTCAAATAATTCTTTTTGGTGGGGGCTTGTTCTGTGCATGGTAGGATGTTCAGCAGCATCTCTGGTTACTATCCAGTAGGTGCCAGTGGCAGCCTCAGCCCAACCCCCCAGTTGTGACAACCAGATATCACCAATGTCCCCTGGGGGCAAAATTGCCCTAGATTTAGAACCACTGGTTTGGGGCTACCTTTCATTAATTGCTAAAGTCAGGCAAGTTCTAGCAGCCCACGTCCTCCGCTGACTGTAGAATGACCTAGTGAGTGCAGCACAGTGAGAGAGGGGTGTTAAATTGGAAGGTTGAAGCAGCTCGCTCATAAACACAAATACACACTGTCGGAAGGTGGGTATTTGGCACTGGTCTGGCAGGCCCTCTGAGAAAAGTAGCTAGTTTTTCTGACATGGATTAGATTCTTAGTCAACAGTCACAGAAGCAGCTGAGTGTTTATAAGCAGATGATTCCTTGGGGACAGGTGGATTGGTCACTTTGCAAACGCTTCTTATGGCATCCACCATCTCTGCCCTAACCCCTTCCTTCTATAGTCTAACTCAGCACTTTCTAACCAAAAGTGATCCCAAGCCTAATGGAAATGCTATGTTCGCCTTCACTCTGGTTTTAAATTTTGTTCTAATTGTCTTTTCTATCATATTTAATCAGATGATAATGTCTGCCCTTTTTTGAGCTGGTACTCCATGCCAAGCATTGTGCTCACTACATGACCTTCATTTTTCTCATTTATCCTCACAGCCATCACAAACTATGTGTCTTTAGCTCCAGTTTACAGATGAAGAAACCGAGGTTTACAGAGATTATGTAAGTTATCAAAATAGCAGTCAAGAACATAGACAGTATTCCAGAACCCTCACATTAATCTCTGTGAGCATTATGCTGCCTCCTGCAGAACCCCTAACTCCTCGGGAGTTACTACCCTTACAAATGATGTAGAAAATCACTCCATGCCCCCAACATTCCTCACCTCCTTCTTCCCCTGTCATCCCTTAGGTTCCCCTAGGCTTTAAATAATTTGTGGGTTCAGTACTAGAGAAAGCACTGGAATAGGGGTGAACCAGATGGGCAATGTTGCCTTACTGAGCCCTTATTCCAGGGTGCAGGGGCAAGTATCAATACACAGATACCATACTGACTTAATAATGTGATGATGGAAGTTCTCTACAGCAGTGCTGATCAAAGTGTGGTCAGAGGCATGGACATCACCTGGATGCTTGCTCGAAATACACGATCTCAGTCTTCATCCTGGATGTACTGCATGAGAATCTGCATTTTAACAGTATCCCCACGTGGTATAGATACACTCAAAGTGTGAGAAGCACTGGTATAAAGACTGTACAATAAGCTAATGTGCTGGAGAGAAATTAGAGGCGCCCCTTCTAAATAGGGAAGCCTGATGAGAGGAAATGTGAATTGTCGCTTAAAGGACAGAATGAGCCCTCCAGGCAGAAGCAACAGAGAGCGCAGAGGTTCAGAGGGAGTCAAGCAGTTGTTTTATTTAAATTAGATGGAGCTTGCCTAGAACTTAAAACAGGGTGAGAAGGGGGAAAAATAGAATCAAGTAAGGGTAAAGAAATAAAGAAGTGGGTAGGATCCAAATATCCAGGGCTGGCAGGGCACACAGACTAAAGGGTTTGAAATGGCATTGAGAGTACTGGGTGGCACAGAGAGGTTTTGGGCAGCAGAGGGGTACAGCCTGATCAATGTCCAGTCTCTCCCTGCCCTGTTCTATTCTAGAGCAGGGCCACCGTGTCCACCTTCTCTCCCACGTGTTTCACACTTAGTGGAGACTTAACTGTTGAACAAACTGCTCCCTCTTGCTGCTCCATGTAAGTTCCTGCTTCTAAAATCCTAAGCACAGATCGCTGCTGCTGTATAAGCTATCTGTATCACAGTGTGGGTTAAATAGGCTTCTGTGGCCTATCATCATTTAGAAATTGTTCCCACAACAAAATCTATTCTGAATTTTGAACAACCAGCTCCCACATGGAGAGCTGGATCACTATCTGGTTGTGAATTGAGTGGCTTTTATACAGACAAGGTGTGTGTATGTGTGTGTGTGTGGAGGGGGGCACAAGTGTGATTCCAGACTTGTGAAATTGTAGACATTTGGAGCTAGAAGGGAGCTCCTCTTTTATCCCACAGATACTGATCCATTATCCACTTTTATCCCACAGATACTGATCCACTATCATGTAGAGTGCATAGATGACAAGACATATGGAAAAGGACACAAGACCTAGCTCTTACCTTAGAGAGTTCACAGGGTCTCCAAGTTTGGCAGCTGAATGAAATCACCAGCAGTTTTCATATGAAAACAAATGTATCAGGTATTTATCCAGTCCAAAGTACTCATTATAAAGTGGGGAAATGAAAGCTCAAAGAAACTAGATGACTTTTTAAATACATGTGATGAAACATATTATAGTCGCAGACGCCCAGTTACTTGCTACCCAGTACAGCAGAGAAAGGATTGGATCAAGTGTCAGGAGATGAGTGTTTCACTGGATCACTGAGTAACCTTAGGTAAAGTCTGTGATTTTATATAAATTTGGATGTGTACGTATATGCAATTCAATTAGGGTAAGCAAACTCCAAATTTTCTAAGATCTAACACTAAAGAATGTTTTTCTTACTCTTGCCCTGGTATAGATATCCATGTGGTCATTAGGGTCCAGGGTCCTTCCATCTACTGGCTTTGTCCTACTTCAAGCCCTGTCCTCAGACCTGCCGCATTCAGTGGATGGGAAGAAAAGAAGGAAAGATTGCCCACCCACATTCTAGCAACTGTAATTCAGTCACAGGGCCACACTAATAGTAAGGGATTCTGGGAAATGTGGTCTAGGTGTGTTCTCAGGTAGAAGAAAAATTAGGTTTTGTGTGCATGTAGCCAACCTATATATGTATATGTGTGTATAATATATGTGCATAAATACATATGTGTATACATATACATATATACAGGAGAAAAAAAGATTGTTTAGCTGAAGAAAATAGAACATCAGAATAACCATAAAGTCTACAAGCAATAAATTTCTTTGTCTCTCAAATAAAAAAGTATGACCTATAGTTAGTAGCACAAGGCTGATACCATGACTTCCAAATCATCAAGGACTTAGGATTCTTTAATAACTCCTGGTCTACCATCAGTAGGGCCGGCCCTCTCTGCTCACTTCATGGACAGGATGTTCACTGTAGAGCCCAACCAGTCCAGGGGAAAAATGAAGGAAAGTGGGGTAGACCAAAAATTACCCCTCCTAATTTAGCCTTCTTTAGGACCATTCTGGGAAGCCTGTCCAAGTAGTTTTTCTTACATCTCAGCAACAACCCCTACATGTAAAGAAGACTTACGAAATAAAAGTCTTTTATGAGGGCACATTGCTTCCTGGTATATATTACAGGGTCTTAACATGAGATATCATTTCACATCCACTAGGATGGCTAATGTCAAAAAGACAGACAATAACAAGTGTAGACAAAGGTATGGAAAAATTGGAACCCTCATACATTGCTGTGGTTTTGTAAAATGGGACAGCCACTTTAGAAAGTATTTTGACAGTTATTCAGAATATTAAGCAATGGATGACCAGATGACCCAGCAGTTCCACACCTAGGTATATAACCAAGAGAACTAAAAGCATAAACTTGCATGTGAATGTTCATGGCAGCATTATTCGTGAGAGTCATAAAGTTTAAACAACCCAAATATCCACCAGTTGATGAATGTGTAAGCAAAATTCATATATCCACATAGTAGAGTATCAGTCACCATAAAAAGGAACAAAGTACTGATTCGTGCTATAATATGGGTTGACATTGAAAACATTATTCTGAGTGAAAGAAGCCAAACACAAATGGCTACATATTGCGTGATTCCATTTATAGAGAACTTATAGAGAGACAAATTAGATTAATGCTTGTCAGAAGCTGAGAGGTGAAGAAATGGGATGGGTATGGGATTTCTTTTCGAGGTGATGAAAGTGTTCTAAAATTAATCATACAGATGGTTACATAACTGTGAATGTACTAAAAGCCACTGAATTGTACAATTTAAAAAGGTGAATTTCCTGGTAATGTGAAGTGTAGCTCATACACTGAATTCAATAAAACTGTCTTAAAAATACAAAAATATTAATAGGGATCTGTTGATAAGAAAGAAGGGTATGATGGATATTAGATACATAGGGAGCATTCTGCATGTGTCTATATGCACGCATAAGCATTTTTTTTCAAAATTATATCTATTAAAGTATTATCTATATCTATTTAAAAACTATTTTCTATTTTCTCATCCATACTAAAAGTTGTATTTTAAAAAATTATTGATTTGAATTGCATTAGAACTCTTTTTACCTTCAAGTTCCTGAAACTCAATTCAAAATGACTCAGGCATTTAAAAAGAAAAAAAAAAAAAAAAAGACAAGTACACATCATTGAAAAGTCCAGGAGGTAAAAATGGCTTTGGGCATAGCTGAATCCTGGTGCTCACATGAACGTATTAAGAATCTACTCTGCGGGACGCCTGGGTGGCTCAGTCAGTTAAGCATCTGCCTTCAGCTCAGGTCATGACCCCAGGGTCCTGGGATCAAGTCCCACATCGGGCTCCCTGCTCCGCAGGAGTCTGCTTCTCCCTCTACTTGTGTTCTCTCTGTCAAATAATAAATAAAATCTTTAAAAAAAAAAAAAAAAAAAAGAATCTACTCTGCTTTCCCCTGGACTGGCTTCCTCCTTAGGCAGGTTCTCTTCACATGATTAGACCGATAACCCCTGCAGCCCAGGTTTGCCTGTCAACACCAGCAGAGAGAGCATTCTTTTTCTTATAGTTCCAATACATTTCCAAGGCATGACACTCGTCCTGCCGTGGGTCCTCTGTCTATTCCTGAACCAGGGAGTGGGGACAACTTCACCCAGACCACAAGAAATAAAGGTGGGGGAGGTAGCGATGTTGGAATGGCAAAAAATATATGCCCACGATAGCCTTATTATAGGAGTCATCACTCTTCCTGGGGGTAGCGGGGACAAAGCATTGCCTGTAAAATATATACACCCATTGTCTTGGAATGAATTTTTTAAAAAACACCAGTCAGCCTCCCTCATGCTTATCAGTTACACCCTGCCTTGCAGCAATTACCTATGAAGGGAAAACAAATACACCTAAGGCCATGTAAGATTTTTAATAAATTCAGAATGACTTCATGTTACAATGGACCCTCTCCCTCCAGCTAAATCACATGAAGGTACGGTTTCTAAAGTCAACTTTAAACTTTTAAAAAGTTGAAAAGATCCCTGTCATGTCGGTCAGTGCTGGATATCCCCAAGACCTAGGACAGTGTTGGCTCACACTGGACACTCACAAAACATGGTGCTTGGCTATGTAACTTATCCAAATATTTACTGGTCCAAAAACCCTTTTCAGGTCTCTAAGACCTCAGAGACCCTTGATTATTCCTAAGGAGAAAAGAACGTGATCTGAACAGTGAGTCCTTTGAGCACATGGAATCCCCATTAAAAATAAGATGGCTCAGTTGTCACAGGTTTATGGGAAGGTAAAAAAAAACCATAAAAGGAAATATTCATAAATAAAAACCAGAGCCCTAGCACTGGTTTCACTAATAAATAGGACATTTCTAATTCAGAAAATCTGCCTTTCCGGTATTTGTTTCACTCTGCAGTGTGTTCTTTAAAATAAGCAAGATCTTGTGCGCCTGAGTGGTTCAGTCAGTTAAGCGTCTGCCCTCGGCTCAGGTCATGATCCCAGGGTCCTGGGATCGAACCCCGCATCGGGCTCCCTGCTCCGCGGGAAGCCTGCTTCTCACTCTCCCACTCCCCCTGCTTGTGTTCCCTCTCTCGCTGTGTCTCCCTCTGTCAAATAAATAAAATCTTAAAAAATAAAATAAAATAAGCAAGCTCTTTAACCGTCCTGCAGGTCAGGCCTGTGACCTAGGAACTCATTAATTGTAATTTTTCTCCTGGCACCTTCTCCATCGTTCTCATTTACTCCGTCTGTAAAATTATGATAATAATAATCTGTGCTTACCTAACATACGGTAATAATCGCTAATTAACTAATTTTTATATGTAGAAGCCCCTGAAGACTTTACACAGGTGCTAAGTTATTATTTTAGGCTGGGGGAGGGAAGACAGGACTTTCTGTTTGCAAGTATGATGGCTCATACTCTAACGCTGCCCACCCCACAGGGATGCAATATTATAAAACTGCTTTTGTGTACCACCCACTGCTGATAGATTTGACAAGCAAAGCCTGCAGTATGATATCACTTTCTCTTGTCACCTTGGGCCTCAAATAGCCGGAGTTGTGTTCATTGTTTCACCTATGGGGGGCCTTTTTATAGCAAAATATAACCACCTGAGCACTGGCATCAACTAAGCTCAAAAGATGTAGAGTTACAACTCTCAGACTAGTGATTTCCAGAATGCACGCCCTGCTCCCCATCTAATACAGAACACACAATTGCTTTTCAGGTAAATACTATTTGATTATATTTAAAAAGAGAGTTGTCCCCCCCCCACCCAAAAAAAGAGAGAGTTGCCCATCGTTTAGGGTTGTTGTTGTTTTTTTTTCCTTGTCTTTCCTTTTTATCGTTTTTTACAACAAAAGAATAATCTTTTCATCTGGGAGGGCTTCAGGCAGAACATTTTTGAGATGTCAGCCAACCAAGAGAAATGTGACATTACCATTCTTTGAAATCGTGTCCTGAAACTGTGGTTTCGGTACCCAGATACCCAGGCACTTGGCAATGAAAAAGCTAAAACAAAACATTACTGAAAATAGTCCTACAATGGTATGGTGTTTCTAGGATAATCGTTTGTTATATTTTAACAAACAAAAGTCACTTAAACCTTTCATTCTATTTTCATGGCTGCACAGGAACAGACATGAAACATTTCACAAAGTTGGCCACGAGCTGCTGGCTACAGGGGCAAAAAGCAATCATGGAAAAAACTTAAGCAATGGTAACATTTTTCTCTACAGGTAAAATGGAAAATGTGTCCACATGCTGGCATACTTTCTGTAATTTTGGCAAATAGCACACTCCATCTTGACAGAATACACAGAGCCTTAGAAGTTGAATCCAAAAAGATGAAAGAACTAGGAGGACAGTGAGTCAGTTTGTCATTGGTGGGAATCTCTGCAGTAACTTATAATTTATCCATGGACTGTGTAAACTTAAAGATGAAGATAAAGCTGCAGTCGGAGAGCTCGGAGAGAGCTCGCTTGTATTGGTGTTCTTCCCATTCCAGAACTACTAAGTTTCTGATGGTTCTTAAAACTGTAGGAGATAAGTGAAAGTGTTTCAAACTTCTGTAA